CCCCAAAACCCCAAAACCCCAAAACCCCAAAACCCCAAAACCCCAAAAATAACCCAAAAAATTGAAATTCCTTCAGCTCTTATCAACTTGTAAACTCTTTAATTAAGAGAAATAGAGCATATCTTGAGCATTTGTTGTACAGGGTATGATTCCTTTTCACTAAATTCATGCTTGTTTTCCTCCACAAAATGTCTAAACAGGGTGGCAATCCCAGGCTGTAATAGTAGCAGCTCCATTTTAGTGAAAGTGAAGTTAAGTAAGATATCAGGCACTTGGATTCCCCTGTTCTTCTGGTTTTCAACAAAGTCAGTCAAACTTGGATATTCCTCATTGTAATGATCAAGATTTCATACTAACATTGAGGGATATATCAGATTAGCAAGGCTGTACAGAAGCTCATTAGACTTGTCTTCAGGGAAGATAGTAGCAGTATATTCTGAAATTCATTTCATTAATATATTCTTCCTATATCTCTTAAGAGATTTATATCGTGTTAGCCTGTCGAAGCTAATATTATAAAACTTCCTGAATCTCCTTAATAATGATCGATATATAGAATCGTATCTATTCCGGATTCTTCGAGTTCCTGAGCATGCTTTTATAACTTTAAAACCATCAATAAAGCTGTTCAAATCCTCATGTTTTGGTGACAAGTTGGGTGGTTTTAGTGTAAGCTCTAAATGCTCAGTTATGCCTTCTTTTCCACCTTGCTTCATCAATCTTATTGGGACTTTTCACTGATTATTTTTACCTAAAATCTTTAGAACTGAAATCTCAAAGTAATAAATTATATCCAGATTCTCAATTTCGCCAAAATGGAAATATGAGCTTAGCCAAAGTCTCTTCATTAACATAGATCCAAATGAAATAACTATAGTGAAAAATTATAAGGTAGTGAGATTTCAAGCCCAGATTGCGGCTTTAATATATCTGAGATAGTAATAACCTGCCTATTATTGGCTTAATTTTCGAACTGTAAAATCTAAACCACCAAAAGTTGAACTAGGACAACACAGGACTGCTTGAGAATTATGATACTATTGATTTTTGCTAATTACCTTCATTGGTGACTTTTCATGCTTGCTGTCTGTCTGTCGGTAAACATGGTGGCTTCTCAGATTTAGTTAATACTATTTCTGATATACCGATCCTGGTTTATATCTGAGTGTTCATTCATACTGATCTGATCATGCAGAAGGAAAGCTTCTTGAGATCCAACACAAGGGTCTGGAGAGATTCAAAAGGAGAGTGGTGTACCTTCAGACAAATCATCTATTTCTATGTATTTGTTATGGCCTACACTAAGTCTACACCAGAAGTTGCCCAAGATATTTTCTAAAATAACTCCTGAATCAAACTTTTTATCTCTAAAAACAGCAGATGTGAAAATGTATTTTGAAAATTTTCATAAGAGACAATGCATAAATGGTGCGAAGTGGTATTCCAAGAACCCTTAAGGGTGGTTTTACTAATTAACTCATATCTTGGGTCAGCTAGTACTCTTCGAGTATGAATCCCTCCCTAGCAAGTTACATAAAGCCAGGACAGCCCAGGTTTATAGTAGTCGTACCTTGATCTGGAGTATCTTTAATAGTGATTACTCTTTCCTCCTCCAAAAAGAATTCTTTCTGCATTTTTAAATCAGTATTTAACAATAAAATATATGAAGTGAGGGGTTTTGGGGTTTTGGGGTTTTGGGGTTTTGGGG